TATATTTATAGTGAGGGACGTTTATGTCACGAGTTTCAACTCTGACGTCGACCCAAAGTTGGGGAAAGTATTTAAGTGGAAACATAACGGAGGGGCATGTGCATACTCTTGAGTTTTTCTGATGAACAATGAGGTTTGACTAGCTAACTAGAAGGGAATTTTTCAACTATTAAATAAGACTGAGTCTATTCTCGACTAAAAGGATGTCTTTTAGTTTTAAACCATATACTTCTATTGTTTTCTCCTTAGAGTTGTTGACCTCATTCAATCCTTGTCATTTTGATCAATGTATTTTGTTCCGCTAGATTGTTGGACAGATTGCAGGAGAAGCGACATAGTAAATTGGATAATGAAGCTTATTTGGATGAGAATCACATGCTATTTAAAAATATCCAGTTCCTTGTCGAAGTATTGCACCCTCTACTCTATTTTATTTCGTATGAAATCTCTTCTAATTGCTGATTTCTACACTTATGAATCGCACACATGGGCACATTGCTGATTTCGTATGTTGTTGTTATCGTCGTCAAATTAGTAATGTTTTGCTCCATTTTTAAGATTCTTATATTTGAATTTGAGCATATGATGTGTCTTTTACTGTAGTCTACAAAGCAGATCGAATTGCCACATACTTTGTTAAGTGGTTGGGGAAGAGTACTCCTGGTTTGTCATATGGATTGGCCCTGAGTGAGGCTTTGATTGCACCTGCAATGCCCAGCACTACGGCAAGAGCTAGTGGGGTATTTTTGCCTATTATTAAGTCTCTCACTTTCAGCTGGAAGTAAGCGTGGTGATCCCTCCTCCAGGAAGTTAGGATCTTACTTGATTCTATCTCAATTTCAGGTATGCCTTTGTTTTGCCTGCTATAGATGTGTGGTGTGTCACATAATTAGATGACTTTAATGAAATGTAAAACACTCTCTATGGATACATGAATTAGTACTGATTAAATGATCCTATTATTCAAGAATTCAATCTATATACACCAATGGTGAAAATAGTTTTTGAGCCATTAAGGTAACATTAAGTTTGTAACCTGGAAAATAAGGTTATTAGCATGCTAAAATAGGTTAAACTATTAAGTTATATCCATAGGGTAATTTTTGAGTGATCTTTGTCTGAAGACTGATATTTATCTTGAATTTGCAACAGAAGACATTATGCATTTGATCAAGTATTACTATCTTTTCGGTTGTGCATCTGTCTCTTTCAGGAATACATAACATATATGGGGTATGGAATGATGTCAGCTATATGAAGCTCTTAACCTGCAAATTCATTACTGAGAACTCAAATCTATCTAGAATTGCTTTAATAGCTTCCATAACTAAAAGGGATAAAAATGAATTGTTTGGTTGTTGAAAATAGCTTTACCTGTCAGCACTTTAATGATTATTTTTGCCTTTAAAAGCAATGAAAAACAACTTTATCACATGTTGTTTTGTATTTTTAAATTAAAATTAGCTATATGTTAAAAAATAGATGCCAAAAAATATGTGTGGAAATATAATCCTCTAGCCTTTTGATATTCTCAACTCTCAAGTGTATAAAAGATCTTGATTCTGGAGAAGAACAAAGGGGATATAAAGGCATTTCGATATTGTTGTGGTGATTCTGAACATTTTCAACATGTAGGTTGAAAAATCTGATGCGAAGTCTCTACTGACCAAACTGTCTAGAATATGTGTGCATTCTTCCTGCTTCTCGAGTTCTTGGTTACATTGCTTGGCTGATTATCCCTTGTGCAATAGACATAATATATATGTTGATATTCTATCATGTTGTTATATATATATATATATATAGAGAGAGAGAGAGAGAGGGAGAGAGAGGGGGGGGGGGGCTTCAATAAATTTTAACATGTGTGCTTATTTGTCGTTCAATTGAAAAATAAGGGTAGTTGTATAAGCCAACTAAACTAGAGAGCACGTAGTGGAGGCCTATGTTTCTATCCCCCGCAAAAGCTAAGGAAAACATGTAGTGAAGGCCTATGTTTCTATCCCTCGCAAAAGCTAAGGAAAACATCTCTAACTTGTTAGCATGGACGCCGATGTACTTGAAAACATGATCTGCAAGGAGGCCAGAAAAAGAGAGTCGTTGCAATTGCTTGCATTGTTGCAAATGGCCCCAAAACCAGCATCAAGTGCATGTATTGCAAATGACTCAATACAGTAACTGCATTTGTAAAAAAATTGAGAATATCTCTTGTTGAATTTTGCATTTTTCTTTGTAGATTACCCATTTCTGAGTACTTGTGTCCTTAGAGGTGCAAAAAAGCTTTGATCTTTGCATCTGAATGTGACAACCCTGATTACCTAACCCTTGGACTGCTTGACACTGGTTTTGGGGCCATCATTCACCATTGCAGGCAATTGTGACGATTTCCCCGTTCACGCCTCCACTACGTACTCCTCCAGTTGTGTAAGCCTTTGTAATCTGGAGAGAAGAGACTGCCCCTTCAGCAACGAGTCTCTGTTGGTCAATGTTGCAAAGCTGGAGACGGTAGGATATCTTTAGATGCCTTGTTGTTCAGTAGTATATTGAAAGAGCTCTAATTACCCTTAGCCTTAGATCAGCCCAAAGCAATCTCAATTGCTCACACGTAGAAATAAAAAGCCTTCACTTGTTAATACCCAATCAAATTGAGCCATAAAGGGCCAAAATTATGAGGCCTTATAGTACAACTTAAAATGCTTTTGATATTATAGTACAACTTGAAATGCTTTTGCTACCAAACTCTGGATTGATTGTTAGAGGTGAACACTTTGCATATAATATAAAGAAATAATTATTATATTATACAGTTTTGTACAATAAATTATTTATTATAGTCATGTTGGGCCCGTGCAACGCACGGGCATCCCCATCTAGTTTATAAATATTTGACACTAAACTCAATTATTACCATATATTAACTTAAGATTGTTGTACGAACTCATAAACTTCAAAATCCTAAATTCCCCTCTTACCAATACAACAACAACAACGTAGGATGTACACATACTTTACCTCTATACCTTTACGGGATAGAGACTAGAAAAGTTATTTTCGATAGACCCTCGGCTCAAAAAAAAAGTAACTGATGCACGAAAGTAAAAAAGAAAAAGAGACAATAAAATCGCAAATGTACAAAACAAGTGTTACTAACACATATTAATTAATAGACATTGGGGAAAAGGGGAACTATGTGATACCTAAATCATATATTACTAGAAGTACAACAACACTCGACTACCTACTATCCTAATCCTCGACCTCAATAACTTCCTTTTTAAAATCAACTAAAGTTATGTCATATCCTGTCTAATCACCTCCACAATTCTTCTTCGACCTACCTCTCACACCTCCTCGCTGTTGCATTCTCACACCACCAATACACACAAGTGTAGTTAAAATAATGTTACCTCAAGGGCATGTTTGTATCTTCTGTAATCTTTTTTAATGATTTGATCATATACTGAAAGTTCTTTTTTAACCACATGTTTCCTTTCTTTGATCCATTGATCAAGTACAGGTACTATAGACTCATTTGGGTCCCTGAGGGTGAAATTCTTCTGTACAAAGAGTCTCCATTGATGGGTCTGTAAAGATGATTACTTGGCGTCGAAATGTAGAAACGGTTAAGCACATTTCTGTGATTAGATATTGAATTTGAATTTCTCAATATAGAGAATAAAAGCTTCATTTTAGGGTTTATGTTGAATCTCGAGCAAAGTGAAGCAGGAAAGGGGATGGTAAATATGTGTATATATATATATATACATAGTACTGCAAATTATTAGTTTCGAACTATTCGCGGTCTTAAAAATACATTTTTATTTGATTAACTCAACTTTAATACACTCTTCATTTTTGTCATATGACATAACAAAGTGGTTCAAACTCTCGTAGGAACATTAAAGAAAGGTTAGAAATACCCTAAACTTGATGAGAATTTAAAGGAGTATTTCACTTATATTACAAATTTGGTGGTGTATTTGAGTTTAGTTAGTCAAGTACACAAACATTTTTAATAGTGTCATAGTTCATGGATAATCATAAAATTAAGGGGAATTTTTGCAAATAATTATTATAATAAATTTAATTATGTTTCATAGTTATAATTTGCATATTTACGGGTTGTAGCTATAATTTAAATTGTCTCGTTTGTATAATTCGCGGGTGAGTTTGTATAATTCACGGGTACGTCTGTATAATTAAACTATTTTTGTATAAACTCGAAATAATGAATTTATACAAACACAAACATTTGAACTTTAAACAATTATACAAATTATATTATACAAAATTACATTATACAAAAATTATACAAATGCTGAATTATACAAACTCGAAATCTCAACCACATAATTATTATTGAATATTGGTCGCAAATGGTAATTAGCTAAAACTATAACTATAATGATTAATTAATTAATATATGTTTGCTTAACCATGTAATTTGTTTTCGATACTTCTCTCTTTTTTATTTTATCCAACTTTGAGATACATATTCATTTTTCTAAAATATAGTAAAGTAATATTTACTTTCCGTTCACTTTTATTTGTCTAATATTTCAAAAATTATTTTTTAATTTGAAATTATGCATACTTATTATTTTTCAACCTATTAAACAAAAGCAATTATTTTTTTATTTTACACTTAATATTAATACTTATTTCTCAATGTCCAAAAATATACATAAATTCAATATGAATATTGTGGTAATTTACATATTAATCATTATCTTTCTAAAGAGTTTGCAAATTTTAAAGTGGACATATAACTAATATTATAATTTTTTATTTTTTTTATGAAAGTCCTAATTATAAGCACATTGTGCAAGTAATTAAAATCTTTAATTTTCCAATTTATTTCCATTGTATTTGACTTTAAAATATTTTTCTCGTTATTCCTTGTTTCCCAACAAATGGCAGCAGGGAAATTAGAGCCCCCTCTGGTCTTACCCTTGAAGTAGCCATTCTTGTACTTGCCCCCCATTTCCACCATCCATCTTCTCTTCAATTTTGACAGAGACCCAACAAGGCAAAACGGCGAGGGTTACAATTTTTGTTTCGAAAAACGGGTCAAAAAGATGATTCCTCATCAATGGGCACCTCCCTGTAACAATCAGTGCACCCATAAATACTCAACTCTCATGCAAATTCCTTGTAATTACTTCTCTCTTTATTTCCCCCCTTACCCTTTTCTTGATATCGCTTTACAAAGTTACAATCTTGAAAAACTGTATCTTTATGCTAAATTTGCAGACATTGTGTTTATGTGTAGATATATTTCTTTAATCTTAATGTATTACTCTGTGTTTGAATTTTTTATGATAACCCTTCTGTCTGGATAGATTGCGTCCACCTCGACTAATTTCTATGGGCTATTTGCTTGTGAGACTTCATGTTGTGTTTGATTTTTTGACTATGTTTAATTCATGCTGTCAAAAGCTTCATAGCAGAAACCAGAAAGAAGAAGAATCTCTTTTGTTTTGGTTTGAGGGGAGCAGCAGTGGACATTGGTTATATAGGATTTTGGGAATTTTATGTAAAGGTAGAATCTTTATGTTACTTTTCAAGTAAAAAGATGAAATCTTTTTAATGTGTTCCCGGGTAATCTGCATTGAGATGTAAAACGCTAATCTTTTTCTGTGTGTGTACTGTCTTTATGTGTAGATACTTTTGATAAATCTAAGTGCATTACTCTGTGTCTATTTTTTTTTTATAACCCTGGTGTCCGCGCAACTCGACTAATTTCATGGGGTATTGCAACTGAGACATCATTGTTCTCAACCTATTTCATTAGGTGTTGTGTCTCAAAAGCTTCACAACAGAAAGAAGAAGAATCTCCCTTTTTCTTTGGTTTGAGGGAAGGAGCAGTGGTCATTGGTTATATAGGATTTTGGAAATTTTATGTAAAGGTAGAGTCTTTATGTTAATTTTCCAAGGGGGTATGACTGGTTGTACAAGAAAGAAGAAAACTACAGATGAAGTCTGTATCTTTTAGAGTCCATAGTGGTCTTTCCAATTGGTTACTTTGTTTATTAAAGACTGCTACCTCCTTTTTTTTGTAAGCTTAACTGATCTATCCTTGTAAAGCTTGCATCTTCTTGATGCCTTGAAATGAATCTACTTACTTCATCAAAAAAAAAAAAATTAAAGACTGCTCCTAAATAAAGATGTTTTTTTTTTTTTACCAAAGTTCATCTAAGCTACATCGACTGTGTGCCATTGCTTTTCAGGTTAGGATGTTATTTGAGTAATTGTTGAAATTATGCAGCCGTCCAATATTTTATGCATGATATAGCATTATAGCTTGGTGCAGGTGCATTGCATTAGGCTGTTTTCAACTGTCTGGCTGTAGAAAGAAGAGGAAATGGAGTATTAGTGCCTGTAGGAAAGTTTTCAACTTGGTGTCATTAGGGTGTTATTTCTCTTCTTGCCTAATTCTACATTGAAATCAAGTTTTGGTTGGACTGTGTGTTTGGTTTGATTTCCTGGACATGCTGTTTGATTTGAATCTTCCTCATTTGTATTCTCTCAAATCTTTCCAAGCATTTTCTACCTTTATAGACTAGGAGTGCTGGACACTGCTGTCCAGTTTAACATCATAATGCATTTTCTTGTTTGGCGCAACTTATTAATGTGTGTTTGGTTTGATATCTTGGGCATGCTATTTAATTTGAATTTTTCTCATTTGAGTATTCCTTTCAACTCTTAAATCAAGCCTATTCTTCCCTTATAGATGGGGAACTCAGAATACTGCTGACTAGTTTAATATCATAATCCATTTTCTTGTTTGGCATCTCTTATTACTTACAATGAAGTGAATTCCAAGTGTGTACTTTAGCTGGATTTCTGTGGTGTGCTGTTTAATTTGAATCCTTCTGATTTGTGATCCTTCCAACTCTTACCAAACCTTTTCTACCTTTATAAACTTGGAAACTCAGATACTGAACGGTTTACCATCACAATCCATTTGCTTGTTTGGTGTAACTTGTTAATTACAATGAAGTGAATTGCAAGTATTCCCTTTTGCGCAATTCATGGTTAGCTTACTGATTTTTCAAGTGATAAGATTTTGAGCCAATCTAGCTACTTTGAATAACCAACAACTATTCAGCGTAGATCTACATTGCTTTCCTTCATAGTTTGTCAAAATTGTAGAAACTTCTTCCTGTAGTTTCTAGAATTCCAGTTTTCTCTGAGATATGGAAAATCAGTATGTCAATCTAACTGTTCAGTGTTAAACTTGGTGATGTGCGTCGTCATGTTAATTCAGAAGACCTAGGGTGTGTGGTTGGACTAAAAGAATAAAAAAGAGTGTGTTGGTTATGCTTGGAAATATGGGACGGTATCCTGGAGAAGACTGAAAGGAAGCTATCGAGATGGAAGGCTCAATATCTTTCTCGAGGGGGAAGGTTGATTCTTATAAACTCTGTTCTTGACTCTTTACCCACTTATGTGATGTCCTTATTTCCAATTCCAGCAAAAGTAGAAGAACAATTGGACAAATTAAGGAGAAACTTTCTATGGCAAGGCAGCTATAGTTTAGTTATACTCCTTAGCAAAGATAGAGGGGGGCTGGGAATTAGAAACTTGAGATTGCAAAATGAAAGTCTGCTGAAAAAGTGGTTGTGGAGGTACACTGAGGAGGGAAGTGCTCTCTGGTAAGAGGTGATTAAAGCTAAGTATGGTGAATTAACCCCTTGGTGTACAGAGAACACAGTTGAACCTTATGGTGTGGGAGTATGGAGAACAATCAGAAACCTGTGGCCCCAAATGGAAGCAGATTTGTTTATCAAGGTGGGAAATGGCAGTAAAACTAGATTTTGGAAGGATATCTGGATAGAACAATCCTCTCTTAGGGATCTCTTCCCAGATCTCTTTCAAATCAGTGAGAACCCTGATGCTAATGTGATTGTTGGACAGAACAGGGATGGAATTTGGTTTTCAGGAGATTTCTCAATGATTGGGAGGTGGAAAGGGTTGCAGAGTTACTAGGGAAGTTAGGTGGAATGAGAATACACACAAATGCCACAGACAGGATGCTATGGAAGCATAAAAATGATGGTCTTTACACAGTTAGCAGTGCCTACAGAAGAGGTCTCCAACTGATGGCAGGAGATCCAAAGCATCAATGGAACTATTTTTGGAAGGGGGACGTTCCTACAAAAGTGAAATGTTTCACCTGGCTAGTGATAACGAGGGCTTGTTTAACACAGGAAGTATTACAGAAGAAGGGTAGATAAATGGTTCCCAGATGCTTTTTGTGCAATTTGACAGGAGAAACAAACAATCACCTTTTCTTGCACTGTAACTTTGCCAAGCAAGTCTGGTATTTATTCCTTAGCATTTCAAATCTGAATTGGACAATGCCAGAACATACATCAGAGTTGTTAAAGATCTGGGTAAGGAGAGGAAGCAGCAAGACTGCAAGAGCCAAAGGAGATGGTGGAGGTTAATACCATCATGTATATGGTGGTCAGTTTGGAAGGAAAGGAATGGTAGATGTTTTGAAAATAGATCCAATTCCACTCATAAGGTCAAATGGAATTGTATAGTATCCTTACGTTTTTGGTGTAAACAGTTGTGTATAGTAGATACAGACCAGATTGTAGATTTGATAGGAAGCTTGTAACTGACACTTTTTGGTGGTGACCAGCATGCCCTTAATGCTGAAGAATACAATCTTACCAGTTTTTTTTTTTAAAAAACAGAAGGGAAATAAAATCCTCTACATTGAGATATTTAATCAGCTACCTTTGTTCTCTCTGTTACCGGAAAAGGATTTGTTGCTAAAGAACGCCTATTTAAATACCTTTTAAGATAATTATCAACTGGAAAGGTCAATAAGGTCTTAAAAATGTCAAGTTCTATGACCTATGTTGATTGGATTCAGGTGTGGGATTTTGACACCGGTGGCGGATCTAGAGGCTGGATTCATCGTCACAGGGCTTTGTATCCGATTGCGGATATGGGTGCTGGGATACGGCTAAAAATAATAAAACTAATATATACAACAATTAGTTATTTAAGAATGGTGAAAATTAACTTATATATGATTAGCAAGGTAATTTAAATTCATATCTTTTTACTACGTAAAATGAAAACTGAGTATTGCATAGTTATAAATTGATATAAATATAGTATTATTTATCTTAGGATTAGGGGATATGGTAGGAGTATGGTTCAAATATTTGGATATCACCAATAAATGCATATCACGACGCATAAAAGTTTATATTTCGACAATTAATTGAATTTATTAAATTAGAGCTAGTATGTGTATATTCATTTTAAACACTTGCTGTAGTGCTTTATGTTTGTATGTGTATGACATAAGCCCATAGTTGACCCAAATATCCGATCAACATATGCTTCTTGGCCATAGGTGTAGTCAAAGTACCCAAGTTAGGTTGATCAAATCGGGTGTGGATCCCCCACCCATGCCCGCACCCATGTCGTGTCGACACGGGTGCGACAAGGATTTTAAAGAATCCGAGTGTCCATAGCCTATAACTATGGACACTAAGAAGGAAATTATTTTTATTTTCCTAACGATAATTTATTTGATCAACTACAATTAAACCTCTCTATGACAACCACCCGCTATATCATCATCTCACTATAACAACCAATTCTTCTTATTTTTATCTTATATTTTTGCCTATAACAACAACCATCAATATAACAATACACTCTTTGTAGAATTACTCCTTTATATCAACCTTACTCAAATATTAATTGTTTCTTCTATTTCCTACTTTTGTTGCTTGTCATTTATTTTCATAATGCAAAAACACTTTCATAATGAAAAACCACTAGTACCGATTTACTATCCTAAAGCCCCATATAGAAATAGAATCTCTAAGATGACAATAACAAGTCTAGTATTTTGACTAGATGTTTTGAACTTTTAATATACCACTTTCAACAAAGAATATAACATCAATACATACTTCTGTAATTAATTTATTTATTTTTGCATTGAGAGATATGCGCATATTTGTATTCCATTTAAACAAAAGTTTTTTATCTTGTAAGTGTCAACGTGATTTATTAATAATGTATTTGCTTTCTTTAACTTTTAATTAGTGAAATTTAAGTAATTTCTTTTAATCTTTTATAATATTAAAAAATGAGAATACTTTTTGGGTAATTGTTGTCTATAACAGTCAAATAAGATTTACATGTCAAATGTTGCTATAGGTGTATAATAACCCGTCACTATAAAAGCTGAAAAGAATTTCGGAACAAACAAGGTTGTTATAGAGAGGTTTGACTGTATTTTTGATTGGTTTTTTCTCTATGTTAAAGTTGCCACTGCAAGCAAAGATCATCATGTGTATCTTAAGCACTTTTTACAGCAGACAGTCCATATGGTTCTGGCATGCCAAAACTGCAGATGTAAGAATATATAGATGTGAATGGATAAGATGTGTTAGCAGGTCCTTGTTTAGGTATCCAAATCTCTCTTTTTATTAGATTGAGTGGGCCTGTCAGATTTTTGATCCTTATATGACCTTTGAAACGATGGTTGATTGTTCTGAATCAATGCTAGTTGGACAAAATATAAACCTACATGGCATTTACTCTACGATGTAAGTCTGACATGTCATAGACATCATCAGATATGAAATTAATAGCTTGTATTTCTATCGACTGATTGTAAGTGTGTTGATGAAAGGACCACAGCTATAAAAGGACTACAGCTAATAAAGACCTAGGAGAATACCATCCCTCTCCCACCTTTTTAGCATTTTATCTTTTGTGTTCACTCTTTTTAATTTAGTTTCGAAACAATTCCGTAAAATGTAATTTCTTTGACAAGATATAATACTGGTTTAATTTTATTTCAATTGTTCTAGTGTTGGTTTATTCTTGTAGTAGTTTGTTTCTTGGCATGAATTTAGCGCTGATATGTTACAATTTTGTGATGTCTGAATTTTTGAAGGGAGAGTCTTTTGCAAAAAAGGATGTGATGCTGATGGAGAGACGTGGGATGAATGTAAGTTCCAAGCTTCTATATTTGTTGGTTTCGAAATAACCCTGGTGAATATTTGAGTTTACTGTCTGATCGTTGTGGTGAGGAATTGTGCTGCTTGTAGAAAAACTTGCATATGGAAGAATCTTACACTGGTGAAAAGAAATTTATTATATTCCACAAGATAATATATTACCATGGGTGACAGCTTAGGACTTTCTATTTATGAACAGTAGAAAAGTGAAAACCATGCCTTCACTTTGTAAAATGTTCATATTAGTGGTTGTCTTATATCGCCAGCTTAAGTTATTTAACCTTGAGAAGGATGGCATCAGATGATATTCATCATTCACCAAGTTTAAGGAATGTCCATAATATTGCTCTCCTTTCGGAGTTCAACTTCTTTTAAACTTGAGGACATTGCACTTATATATAACTAATGCTTAGGAAGTGTCTTATTTTTGAAATTTGAAACCTCTATGAGGCTTATCTATTGATCTAAGCTACAATAGAGTAATAACGAGCTATATGCAGGTTTGTCAGAATGTGAGGAAATATGCTATAAAAATCCAGTTCTGAAGGATCAACAGTGGAGTGCTTACATTGACCGATCCCCTGGTGCCGCCAGCTGCTCTGAGGTCTCCCAACCTTTCTTATTATCTTTAATTGGTTTTTCTTTAACAGTTCTCAAAATGTGATTTTTCTTAGTTCTTACAAGTTCATTTGCTTTACGATGAATTTTGTCAATTGTAGTTCAAATTCATTTTTTCCATGTGTTCAGGGTCTGGATTGAAAGTCAACACTCTCAATAGTATTCTTCATAATCTCTTTTTTTTTTAATAAGCATGGTGTCCGCAATAGCTGTGCTATTGTTCATTATCTTACAAGAACATACATGAAGTTTCACAGTACAATGCTGATTTGTCCTTTGCAAGCTGAGGTCGTTATTCTCTTCCGGTTCGTAAGTAGTAAAGAGAGTTTCTACAAATATATTTTTTTTGAGTGAAGAGTAAAGAGAGTTGTTATATTAGCATAAGACAAAATGGCAAGGTTTTCTTTGATCTGCTAAAAAATCAAGAGAGCTTCTAGAGCAGTTATGGGTGCCTTTGCGTCATATGTTAATATAAATGTTCATGACCTCATCAAAATGATACAAGTGTTCATGTTTCTGTGGACCAATATCTTGAATATTTCATCATGAGGTTTGGTATTGGACGGCTTAGAGATCCCTTTTAAAGTGGCAGTAAGTGCTTGTTCTTGAGCCAACTTAAAAATAACTTTTTCATGTCATGAAAGTTTAGATACCTATATCTAGTATGATCAATCATCATTTTTGTTAGCTGGCTTGACTTGTAGTATTGGGGACTTTTAGAAGTATGTGCTTCTCACCTTGTTCTTGGGGAATATTGAATATGTGCATATATTTATGAACACTTTGAGTAGTAACTGTATGTTGTATTGGACATCACAATGAGTAATACATGTCTGCAGGGACCGCCTTTCTAAGAGTAGTCCTTGTATTAGGAGACTTGTGCTGATCAAAATACTGACACACCTATCTAATGGAAAGATAAATCTTAAAGCCTGTCTAGATAATAATCTAATCTAAAACACAAAAGATAAATATAAACTAATTTTAGTGTATAAGAACTAATAACAAGAAATATGTATTCTAATATGCCCCCCTCAAGTTAGGCTATGTGTTACTAAGCCTAGAACAAATTGTGATGCTTGACGAGTGCTTTTGTGAGTGTATCAGCTAGTTGATCGGCAACATGGACAGAAACAACTTGAACCAGTTTTTGTTGGACATATTTGCGCAAAAAATCTAAGTTCACCTCAACATGTTTCATGCTACTGGATTCGCGCTCAAATAAGTGACAGAGTGACACAAATGTTATTACAGTAGATAGTAGGGAACTCTTTGACTAGACAGCGCATCTCAAGCAATATATTATTAATCCAAAATGTTTCAGCAAAGGCATTGGAAACTGCTATATTTGGCCTCTGTTGAGGAGCGAGCTACAGTTTTCTGCTTTTTGAAGGACTAACAGATAGGATTGAGTGTGACAAGGAAATTGGGCTATGAAGTTGGATGACGCTCTGTGAGCGTATCAAATAGCATATAAAACGCTAATTCTGACCTCTCCTTATAGGTTGGTTTATGGGAAAGATTGCCACCTGCTTGTCGAATTGGAATACATTCATATGAGCAATCAAAAAGCTCAACTTGGATATGGAACTTGCGGGTGAGGAATGCATGCTAAAGTTCCACTAGTTGGTTGAGTTAAGGTTGCATGCCTATGAAAATGGAAGATGCATAAGGAAAAAACCAAGCAGTGGCATGTCAAAGCTCAGTGGGTGTCTATCTCTGCACTGAACAGATATGCTGACATAGCAACCAGAGTTCCAACACTTGCGTGGGAGGGCACATTTGTCTGTAGGTCTTCCAGCTACTCGTACCATACGATTCTTGCACAAAAGGGATACCATTCTGAGCACCCATTCCACATCAGCTCCTTGAAGGCATTTGATTACGGGGTGCTTCCAAATCTCAGAGATAAACCCACAACTAAGAGTGGTGAAGATAGTATGTTTGTTGGTGTTGATTGCTTCTCGAGAATAGATCCATGTTATAATGGTAATGGTGCTACCAATTTGTTCTTTCAAAAGTGGCGTGCCCTCATGGTATACCAAGGCCGATTGTGAGTGATTGGGATATAAAATTTTTGAGTTATTTTTGGAAAACTGTATGGGCTAAATTAGGAACATGTTTGATCTTTTCTACAGCATATCATCCTCAAATAGATGGGCAAATGGAATGGCCAATAGAACTTTGAGGAATCTTTTAAAGGTCGTAGTTGAAAATAATTTGAAGGCTTGGAAAGGTTGTATTTCATTTGTGGAGTTTGCATATAATAAGAATATTCTTAGTACAACAGATCATTCAACTTTTGAATTGGTATATGGTTCAATCCTTGTATCTCCTTTAGATTTACTTCCCATTTCCGCTAATGAAATTTTGGGTGTTGATGGCAAAGCTAAGGCCAAATCAATGAAGAAACTACATGAGAATGCATGACAACATCTTGAAATCAAGAATGATGCCTATGCTTCCAATGTCAATCAATGGAAAAGACATGGTATTCCAACCGGTAATTGGGTATAGGTACATTTGAGAAAGGAGAGATTTCTATCCAAAAGGAAGACAAAGCTTGATCAAAGGGGACATAAGCCATTTCCAGTTGTTGTAAGAATCAATGAGTTGGCCTACAAGCTTGATTTGTTCGGTGAGTATGGTGTTAGTGTTACCGTTACTGTTTTTGACTTATCTTCAAGAGGGATGAGATGATGCATAACTAGAGGCTAACCCAAGTCAAGTGAATCCTTAAAGTAGACCATTTATGAGGATCTAAGATAAAATTTTTTTACAAGAACTCCAAGGTTTAACTCATAGGATCTTGTATCACGACTTTGAAGACTATTGAGGGAATCAAATAAGAAAATCCAAGGCCAAGTATTCCTTCTTGCATCAGAGGGATCTTATATCAAGAACTCTTGTTTAGGTCATTTTCCCTGAAGGCTAACAATTAAGAATGGGAAGAAATGAACTTTGGGCCTAATTCAACTCCAAAAGGTAGGTAGCTCATGAGGTAGCGTTTGCCCAAGATCATATAAAGTGAAAAAACAACTCATCCCTCAACCAATGTAGAACCCTTAGCAAGGGGCATTTTTGTACTTTTGGCTCTTGAGTTGTCATAACATTTTATTTGTGTTCTTTCTTTTTAGAATGAATTTGGATGAAGAAAACTCTCGCTGGAGCTTAGAGTATCTTAGTTCTTCTTGGCAACTTAAAAGTCTTTGTTTATGTTTGTAGATTTAGTTCCTCTTGTAGTTTAGTATGTTAGTTTGTTCCGTGTAATAGTTAGAATTTCAATACTTCGATTTACTTGAGAGTTGATTTCTCCATTGAAATTGGTTGTTCTGCATTGGTTTGTGGAGTAAAATTTTCAAATAAAAATGTGAATTGCCTAAACCTCTTCCCTTTTGGCACTCAAGTGACATGTAATCTTCTTTATTGCACGCAGGAATGCTTTCATGCTTGTGTAGCTGGCTGTGGATACAAGGTCAGTTTGTGTTATTGACAAAAACTTGGAGTTTATTTTCTAAGTAGTCGCACTAAGTGAACTGTCAAAGTAATTGTAAAAGAAATTAAACTGGATCAAGATACTCACATGCGTGGATACAATAAGTTCCCGCAACTCTTTTGGTGGCAAGGAATAACCTGATGTCGTGACCAGTGATCATGAGACCTGTGCATCAGTGAGAAAATAGTTGTAATTTCTCTAGTCAAAACACTGAAAAGATAGCATTCTGCTGCTCTATGTTGGTTTTTACTTTTTCCCTAATTTAGGCTTTGTTGGACATGTTTCCAAAAGGTTGCTGCTTGAAAAGTTATTGAGTGCTGATAATGAGTGAAATTCAAGATATTAAAAGCATGGATGTGGTGGAGTAAGTGTGGTTTATGGAAAGAATATCCAAGTGAAAGTAGCACCTCACGCTTACTCTGTGCCGCCCCTCTGTTTGTGAGGGCTTAGGAAGAAATAAGTACAATAAAAACAAATATATATTCTTAAAGCAACTTTATGTGGACAGTAGTATGAGTGTTGGGTATGGATATGATTTGACATGGGTACTTAATATTTTGACTCCTTTCAAGAATAAATATCAAATATTCATACTGCTGTTATGGGTAACATCCAGATAAATGAAGAATCTGTGTTGTAAAGTAGTTCACACTGATTTGATCCACTTATTTTGAATGAATGCTTGTTCATTTCATCTGCAACTGTGCTGGTATGCTATGTTTCATTGCATGTTGTTGCGTTTCTCAACTATGCATTGCTTGCCATATATATTTCCAGTTTCTTGTTAGATGACTCTGTGTTGTTGGTTATGCAGTTTGACGTTCCTTCCCAAAAAGTCGATCAAATCCATCCAAGCAGGCCTCCTCCGCCTCCTCCCAAAGAGAAACTGACCACACCTGCTGTGAAAAGAATACTACCCCGGAAATCTAGCCAAACGATTGATGACATACCTGGGACATCCGCGTAGCATCAACAGTGTAGACAACTTGGAATACATTTGTTCTGTTAGGATCGCAACCATAAGTCTAAATTTTGTCACAAGTCAAGAGGCAGTAGTAATTTTCTTTAAGAAACATTTTGAGAGCTCATTGGAAAGTTGGTAAATTTTCTCAAAATTAACAAGCAATCATAGACAAGTGTTTGATATTATCATGAGAAAAACTATGTACAACTTGGCTAAAAATGTAATCTCATTACACCATGCATATCCAAGTATGTAAGTTTTTAATGAAAACATTATTTTTATTACCAAAACTCTAAGATTGTTGTTGATTGTCTACATTACTTCAGAGTTATGATACTTTTTCCAAATGTTTGTGATTTAGGTATATATATATATATATATATAATAACAACAAATGGAGTGTGGGGATTGACTAATGTATATTGTAGATCTTATGTTTACCTTTGTGTGTGGGGGGTGGGGTATAGAGAGATTGTTTTCGATAAAAAATTTATAAGTTCTAGCTAATTGTGGAACTCTGACTATTATACTGCACTTTTGAAAAGTTTAGAGAAATTTGCACTTAGTTCTTGAAATATTTATAAATATTGATTTTGATTTTTTGTGATAAATATTTGGTTAAGCATATTTTACTTTCAATCGATAAACATGCACGTATTTGATCCTTGTGCTTGTGGATCTTCACAAATTATTAAATTAACTATTTGATCGCTTAATTAATTATATATTATGTTAAATTTGTACCATTACTTTATATTAAAGGGTAATATAATTTTAAAAACAATCAAAATGTAACAAGTTTCATATATAGAAGGAAAAGACGCATTTTGATTAATTCAAGCTTTAATTTGCTTAATGAAATATCACGAGGCGATTAGCCCAAAGATAATAGAGGTGATGTTCCACCTCATGTAGAGAACCCGTTGTTTTATGTGACACTTTTCTGATTATTTTTGTGGTCTAAATTTAAGAAAAATAGAGTAGACCATTGTTTTTTTTTTTGATGCTCTTTACGTATATTCTATTTTTTAAAAAGAATGACGTATTTTTATGATTGAAAACTTTTAAAACTTTCTATACAAAAATGTATGGCGTGTTTAAAATCACAATTTCTAAACCTCCTTTTTTTGGAAACTTCGTGTCCAATCAAACGCCGACATATAAAATGTAATCGTGAGAATATTATTATGCTTATGAAGATAATATGGGCTGTTTCTAACTACAAGGAGACTCCTAGGCCCATCCAAGGCTTCAAAATGTGCCATTTCTTTTTCCCCTTTTAAGACAACAAACAGTAAAATAAACATGGAAATTCCCATAACACATGAACTTTTACATGATTATTTATGATTAGAGCCGAGAGTCTATCAGAAACAGTCATTCTACTCCATGAAGGTACGGGTAAGGTCTACATACATCCTACCCTTCCCAGACTCAAGGATTTCACTGGGTATGTTGTTGTAATTGATGAACTTAGTCACTTGCTACATCAACTCTACTGCACATGATGCCAGAACTCTATTACATTGTTACAAAAGAACCAAGAGTCATAATCAATAAGAAACATCACATAGTAACACTGAAAGAATTAACAAAGAATAGAGAGGACTATTACTGCACCTATTCGGACTTGTTTGCTTTCGTAGACAACTTTCTCTTCATTCTGCTGAAAGGTCCAACTGTTCGATCCATTATGTACATGTAGATTACCTGGCTCCAAGATTTGTAAGCATCTAAGTTTTCGTAATATTCTGGTGCAATCTCCTTCACCTTGTAGAGCTTGCTTCCGGGAATTCTTGGAAAATCATGGTGCTCATTGTGGTATCCTACGCTCCAAGTCATGAGGTTAAGGGGTCCGTAATAGGAGTATGTCTCTTGCTCAGGCTTGAAGACATAATGCTCGGAGATGAAGTGACCAGCCATTGGATGCATCCCGCCCCCAACAAACGTGGATAGGATAAGATAAGCTAGCGATTTCCAGCCCCAGAAGTAAACCATAGCTCCATCAAGGTATAGCTGGATAGTAAAATTAATGAACTCCCACACACCAGGTGGTTTAGGTTTTAGAAAAAGAGGCCTGAATGCGTAAAAGAAAAGTTGAAGAATGACCCATATAGATTTTGCAAGAACATTTTTCACTACATGGGCTTCAGTTTGGCTCGGGATGTCCATATCAATTCCATCAACTCCTTGGAAGCGATGGTGCTCAAGGTGATACTTTTGGAAGGTGACAGACATGGGTACACCAATGGGAAGGTTGGCAAAAATTCCAAGCCAACGATTGTAGGTTGGAGTAGAGAAAGCTAGGTTGTGACTTAGTTCATGAATTGCCAGGAAGAGATTATGGTTCAGAAAAGAGCCAAAGAAGTACGCGACTATCAATATCTTGAACCAGGTTGCATCATGGAGGAAGGTAGCTGTCCAAAGCTGAAGCAAAACAACTCCGGATATCTGCATGGTTAATATTTAAAAAGAATACACAGTGAGCACTCAGTCTAAATGAAACTAGTAGCACCAATCAGTTCCTGTAACCAGTTCCTCATATTTTAGACAGATTCAATAACTAGTGATTTCTGCAATAAAGTCCACGGTTGTCCACCAACGAATCTAGTAAGGACGTCTAATTGCATACACATGAATGAGTAAAAGGCTATGACATGACCAAGCCAAAGTTACATGAATTTTCTGCTGTCACCATCGACTAAGCTGCCTAAGAAAAGACATCTGGGACAGAATATAATATAATCACATAACATTATCAATCAAAATATTGGACTTTGTAGACAATGGATTTGATCACAAAATTGAATAAACAGGGGGGAAAGAAAGGAGAGGGACTCAAGTAATTATTCAAAGACTGATTATATTTTCAAAACACATAAAATTACAAAGCATTGATCTCTAGTAAAACTATGAAAATGACACCAGAAAATCAAGGAAAACGAGATAGATAGGGCACCAAATCATGTGAATCTCATTGCTGAGTTTTGGTCTCAACAAATTCACATAATGAGCAATCCAGAGAAGAGTTTAACCAAAAGAACTCAATCCTGATAAACACAACATTCTTCATCTTTTTCAGGAAAAGAGAAAAGGAGAGGATACCTTTACAGAAAAGTTAAAAAGTTTGAAACACTACTATATGTTTCTCTATTTTATTTTTTATTGGTTTCCCATCTAGTATTCAGTAACTGCATTAGAACCCAACTGGATCCAGATTCACCCCCAGAAATCCACAATGTGGGATAAAACGCTCCTAACAAAGATGACTCCATACCCGAAACCTTTAGGCTCAAACACTACTATGCGTTTCACAATTGTATCAATCTGATTCAACAAGCAAATTCCTTCAAAGAAAAAACTAAAAGGACTCCATTTCACATAGAGTTACCCCTTAACCTTAAAAATAATGCCTAATCCAAAGAAAAAGCTAAAACCCACGATTCTATTTAACAAATATCCTTGAAAACACAATGAAACATACACAAATACATTTCAAAAAGAATTTAAAAAGCCATCTAATGAAAACCCAAAACCAATAATATTGAGATTAATTTTACAGTGTATCTAGTTATCAATTTGAATGTCAATCAAACACAATACAAATTCAATCCCAACATTATCCCAAGACTATAATCCCAAGATAACCAAATGACCCACCCAACATTATCCCAGGACTATAACCAAATGAGCCTCAAAGATTCAATTTTTAACCCTACCCACCTAACATTGTCCCAGATCTAAGATACCCCAAAAAGCAAAATGAATAAAAGATCAAATTTATACCTTGAGAAAAGCAAAAGGGTCAGGACCAAAAAGGTGTTTGATTTGAGGGTACTGAGAGAGGATCTGTCTTCTACGAGAAGCATGAGGTTCATCTGTATATGACCAAAAGAAATCATTAGCCATTCTTACACCTTCTTCCTCTTCTCTCTTTTCCCCTTCAAATCCCATTTCTGCTTTTCTGTTTTCTCTCTCTCTGTCTTTGTCTTTCTGTTTTTTGTTTTTGTTTTTTTGTGTGTGATGTTATCTTGGTTTCTGTTCTTGTACAGCTTGAATAAGCTAAATTAGCGGGCTGGTTTTAAATTAGAATATAAAAAAACATAATAGTAATAATTAATAGTTTAATTAAATAATTTTTAAAAAATTGTGAAATTGGGTCTACATATGCAACTTGGGACGGTTGAAATCTCCCCGCTCTAAATCATTAATCAGAAGTTTCGGGTTTGATCATTGAAAATTGAATTTCTTTTGTTGAGATTGTCCTTCGGAAATGAGTCTTACAAAGCATGAATTCAGATTTAATCGGACTCCAATGTAAATATTAGACACTAAAAAGGAGAGAAATATTGAAATATCTCTGAACTTGACGTGAATTATAAACTTCATCTCTGAGTTAGGGACAACCTTAAAAACACCTTCTACTTGACTAATTAAAGTTAGATACATCCCCGATTTGCCACTTGACATAGCAAGTGGTTTCAAACTTTTGTTGTGCGGCATGGGACTCTTAATAAAAAAATCGAGAGAAATGTTGAAAACACGCCTAAACTTGATTAGAATTTAAGGATATATTTAACTCATATTGCAAAATCGAATCTTTCATTTCAGTTAATCAAGTAAATACGCAATAGTTTAATAATAAAACTAATAATTCACGTCGTTTACGATATTCTCTCTAAACAAATTAAAAAAAACACAAAGAAGGGGGGGTTACATCATGACAATTGGGAAGGACCCAGAAAGAAACGTCCACATGGACCATGTTGATTCTGTTGATGGCAATTTGCACAAATAGTCTTTTTAAGCCACTATTTGAATCTACCCATATTAGGGCTTGTTTGATTGGGGAAAACTTATCCTAAAATTAATTATTTCAAAATTTAATAGATAGTTAAAAATTATTAGATGTTGCCCCTTAATTTCTTTCCATATTAAATTCTCTATATTTAAAACCCCTAATCAGAATCTTAAGACTCCACCACTTGTAAAACTGAGAAACCAAAGAGATAGTAATGTTAAGAAGCAACTGTTACATGCACGTACAATCAGGATTATAAAGCTCTTTTTAGCTAAATCCAACTTAGCTTCTCAATCCCGAATAGGGTAGGAGCTAGAGGTCAACACACGAGTTCAACTGAACTTAGTAACTTTAGTCATATTTGTCTCGAGAGAAATGCACTATATATATGTACATAATTAAATTTAAACCCCAGTTAACTTAACATTCGATGTTGCTATCCTAGAATTTAGATAGAACGCATGAAGTTCAAATCCTGGCTCCGCCCTGTGTATATGCTCCCAATAATACAGGCTGGATTACTTCTAATCACAAGGTAGTGGAAAAGGAACCACCACCTTCATATCTAACCCAGCATCACCAAATCCAATACCATAACCTCCATTTTCTAAATCTTGCATATGACCAATTTCAACAAGATAACCAATAGGCCATTGCTCCTCTACCTTAGATGAGTATCATCATATGTGTCGAAAACATTATCCGGCACGATCAACGGTAACTTCTCTATATACATGAACAACCTTCTTAGATTCTCCTTTGTAATTGTTGTCATGTCCACAGCATCTTTGCTGTCCATATATACCCACAGATCCCCCGAGCTCACCCTTTTTAGGCTATCACGGCAAAAGGGGCACGACTGTGACCTCGAACGCCTGCAGTGCATCAATGAAGATCTTGTTAATGTGCATTATAGGAAGATGAAATAAACAGAATATGTGCACGAAAATAGAAGAGATAGAGCTACAGGTCTAGTTTTTTAGAAAGGTTGAAACCGTCGGATGTAAGTAGATTTGACTATGGCCCAAAAGGTACATATGTGAAACACAGATGTTAGTTTCTTTTCTTTCCCTAGCTATTATTTCCCATTAGTTTGTATTAACGCAAACATTCCACATATTAGATGCTTAAGCAATTGTCTCTCCGTACATGGGAACAATACTAGATCAGTTCATAGGTCTCCATACAGAATTTCAATATCCACAAAAAAAAGAAAAAAAAGAAAAAGAGGAGACAAATCCAGACCATCAAGCATAGGGTAAAACTATTTAGCCTCGGAGGTGAGCAAAAAAAGAGAGATGAATAAGGCTTGGGATGTACCTCCTAAATGAACAACAAACATTTGTTGTCGATAAGTGCTAAGAGTCATTCTAATGTTTGTCCAAAAAATTAGAGATAGAAAACGCTCGCCACTCTTTATGCCACAAAAAGGACGGCGAAGAGAAAAAATAATAGATTACTCAAGTCAGCATAGGTGAGACATTTCGAGATCACATTTAGTATACCTAACAATATTTCAGGGGTTGAGCAACTTGCCGCCTCTTTGTCCATTTAGAGAACTATGGGAGGCTGGTTTTATCACTTAAGGAGGCTCTCATGAAGAGACAACCGTTTTATCTCTTAGCTTTACCAATTACGATCACTAAAGGAGATAGCCATTAATCTGTTTTTCCAAGCAATCACGTCTCCCTCAGAATTGTGAAGTTGACCTTCATATGATATATTTTTAACTGTGAATTATATTGGAATTTATGTAGTCGCCACAGAAAAGGTGGCCGGAGACAACGCTCGAGTAATGGAAAGTATCTTAAGTAAGCAAGTGTGGTTACATGGACGAGCAAATCATTCCAGTTTCAACACTTTTAAGCATCTGGTGTCAGAGGAATTGTAGAGTGCCTAGGATCATAGCATACTGCGTACTACCAAATATTCAATGCAGGAAAAAGAAGTGCTACATATTATGACTGAAACACCAGTTTAGGAGGTGTATTCCTCTCGAAAGTTATTGCAATACTGTTTCCTTTGCAATTCCCACTTGCAGTTCAATCAGTGTCCCTTCCCCAGGTCGAAGGAGGAAAGAAACAATGGTCATGCTACAGATAACTGAGTTGGGACTCCAAAAAACAGTTCCAAGCAACATGTCGAAAGCAGTGAACCTGAAGTCGGTCCAAATCTAAAACCAAGAGAGATAGAGAATTACCTACTTAGCAGGCAAAATATAAAACATCCCAGCTGCAGTATTGGATCATGCAGAGGAAAGATTTTACTTATATACCTCTTAATTTGCATAAAAACTCTAATTTCATGTAGAACAGCTAAAAGAAATGGAGTGACATTGTATTACTCATTGCCTGATTGACAGTTAAGGATAAAGGTAAGTAAATAGTATTAGTCTACCATTGAAATAAATCTACATCAATTATTATTTCAGATTAGTCCTACCACCCATAGTATTTGATTTGATTTTGTTCGCCTCTCAGTAACATTTTCATCATCAAATAACAACTATATAACAAAGTCCAACACCTTAAAGAAAAGATAAAAAAAACCTCATATCCATGGACTCTGTGCACGTGATAGCTTTAGTCTATGTACAAGATATGTAGCAGCACAGTTGTGTCACGTGTGATTTTCACCCATCAGATGTTTCCAATTTGTTGGAGGGGGGGGACAAACCGAAGCAATAAAGAAATAATCTTAGCCAACAAAATAAGCATAAGTATTTCCCTGTGCAATTGACTTCACTCCTCTTATGATTATTTGGTCTCTAAAACGCCAACATGTCCTCTTTCTCCAGGAAAACTCTATCTCTATTTCTTTTTGTTGGTTTGGGGGATTTACGCGATAGTTAAGGATCTTGTCACTAGATTCATGAACTGAACAGGATGATATCTAATTTTTTACTTACTAGCAGCTTATTCAATTAATGTATCAAAATGTGCATATGAAACATTCAGTTTGGAGATCAATCAGAAATTTATGGGATAGTCTAAAGGAGAATTTGGTGGTCAAGGTGGGAGAGGGTAACAAAATATTCTTTTGGAAGGACAAGTGGATTGGACAAGAGTGTTTAAACTCGGTCTTCCCCGATCTTTTTTCTTTTTGTACCAATCCTGAGGCGAAAATTGCTGAGATTTGGTCCCCTCAGGGATGGAACCTCACTTTCAGGAGAAATCTAAATGATTGGGAAGTGGATAGAATTGCTGAATTGCTACTCAAATTGGGTGAATTCACAGGCCCTACTACAGAAGCAGATGGTATTAGATGGAAACATAACTCTGATGGTAAGCTCTCTGTGAGTAGACTGTATAAGAGAGAGATAATGGCTCACTCTGGGGGAATTCTTGGCCCATGGAAACAAATATGGAAGGGCAACATCCCAACCAAGGTGAAATGCTTCACCTGGTTGGTCATCAGAAGGGCATGTCTCACTCAGGAAAAACTCAAGAAAAGAGGCTTCCAGATTGTCTCCAGGTGTTTTTTTTGTCATGAGAAGGAAGAAACTAACAGCCACTTATTCCTACACTGTAGGGTTACTGTACAGGTGTGGCGCATGGTTCACAGCATCTCTCAAGAGCCCTGGGTGATGCCAGAACATACTGCTGATCTTTTGAGCTGCTGGATGAGGAGGGGGGGGAGCAAGACCCAAAAAAGATGGTGGTCTATAGTACCTACTTGTGTCTGGTGGGCTATTTGGAGAGAAAGAAACCTTAGGTGTCATGAGAATATTACTAACTCTATTCAGAAAGTTAAAGAAAATTGCATTAACATGTTGTTTTTTTGGTGTAAAGAAGATGGTATAGAAGAAGTAGAACAGCTGGTAGATTTCCTAGGATCTATGTAATTATGGTTTCAACTTGTAACTTTTTGGAGGTAGCCAGCATACCCTTAATGCTGAAGAATACAACTTTAACTTTTATCAAAAAAAAATAAAAAATGTGCATATGAAACATACCATTCACGATAGCATTTCAAGCACATTATATGATTGCAGTTGGGAAGGATAATTTTGCTGTTCACGTCCATGCAAATTCCACATTCATCTTCCCTTTCAATGTCCAGATCATAAGCCTGTCTGTAATCCTCATCATCTCGTCTCTTGTATCTCTCCTGGCAAACTGCGTTTTGTTTTTTGTCTTCCGAGTCTGTGACACCTCTTTCAAGTTGAACTAAAGAGGGATAAATAACAGCTGGACAAGGATGATTGATGTCTATAAGCAACAGGTATCTAACTTTACATGATTTATCAGAAGTATTTATGTC